CCCCCCCCCCCCGCCTCACATCCACGCTTCCCCCAAGGTTTTTGCGTCGGTATGCTCTGCAACAAGGTGGTTGATTGCTTAGAGACGAAGGGTTACCTTCGGGGAAACTCCTGCGACGGATGAGGTGCTCCCAGGGTCAAGGCATGGAATCGCATTTACAGAACGGGCGGTGCCTCATATTTTTTCATTGTCGAGTAGTCAGGCGTCGACACTCGTGCTGTTGCGGGGAGGGGAGTTGGTTCTGATCGTCATCTATCAGTTGGCGATGCAATCCGTCGCCTGCTGCAGCACCATGGATCGAGCACCAGTTGTGTGTGTGTGACGTGCGTTCGTCCGCGTGGTGAAGCAGTGCTACTTCATCATCTCGTGTATCGATAAAGGAACATGCACGTGTGCTCTGTGCTACAAACTTCTGTCCTTTTTTCGCGTATTTCTCACGCAGGGGAGCAATTGCGCAGCATCTCGGGGAGTCGTACTGTCGGTAACCTCTTCGTCACGTCCGTTTTCAAAATGTCGTTGGTTCTGTCGATTCGTCTTTTCCGTGTTGCTGTTTTTTTTCCCGGATACATACACAACGAACGGGTGCAGGCGATGAAGCGCGGGCTTGACTGCTTCAGCCTGGACTGTCTCCAGACGGAGCCGGCTTCGGAGGTGATGCGCGTGCAGGAGTCCATCATGGGGCTGCCGCGCAGCGTCGGTGACTTTTTCACGTGAGAAAGGGGGGTCGTACTCGTATTATCTTTTGCATGCCATAGCGGTTAGACCATTGACCACGCGTCCTCGAGAGGACGGGGCAAAGGGGAGGGGGCGACATATCCGTTGTGACCAGCGGTTACCTGGGTTACCACACCATCATCGGCGCCAGTAGGCAAAACAACCAAACGTTCAGATTGGGAAATAGCAGTAGCTCAGGGTACCATCAACGGTGAAAAATAGGAAGATCGGTTTAGAATGCGGCTGGGAGTGGTCGATATAGGCCCAACGCTAGCTCAGTCAGGAAAGATAAACAACTCATGACCAATAAAGAAAGAATATGAGAGTCGACATCGAACGGTTGGTTCACGTGTACGCTTGAATTTGTGGAGTTCACGACTTCCCACATTGATGCCGTACCCCATGGCCCGTTTGGAGACACCATGCACAACAGCAACCCGGTGCGTCCTGGGTTTCGCTGTGTCAGGCGCACGGGTCCTTGGTCGTCGTATGTATGTTCACACAATCCTCGTGACAATTCCATGTCATTCTTCTTTTGTAGTTGATTCCTTTGCTTTTTTTTTTTTGCAAACCCCATTAGGGAAACAACACGTACAAGATGGTTGTTGTCGATGTTCCGTTAGCGTGCCTGCGAGACCCGGGCGTGCACTTCATCGCCAACTGCTGTCTAGCCTCAACCGCCCCCACCCACCCACTCATCCACCCGCCCACCCGAACGCCGGCAACAACGACGACGACAAAACAGGTGGGGGCCCGTGATCACAGACCGAAACTACCGAAGGCACGTGGGTAAACACCGCAAGACGTGGAACTGCGACGCCTACGAGGACGAGGCGGAGGAGCGAGAGCGCCAGGAGAGCCGCACCGTCACGCTCAACGGCCTCGGCAAGAGCAAGAAGACCAAGAGCACGAACGCCAGCAGCGACGGAGTAGATGACAGCAGCAGCGGCGGCGGTGACGATGATGGTGGCCACGACCACAAGGGGGCGGGGGCCGCTGGCGGCGGTGGCGGCGGCGGCGGCAGGGAACGGCCGTCTATGTCGCGCATCGGCCCGGCCCACAACTACACGGCGCCGTTCATGAACGTGGTTCAGCCCCTCGAAGCCCTCGCTGCGGCGGCGGAGCACGCCTCCGCCGCTAGGGCCCCGGGGGGCCGCGGGATGATGAATAGGGGCAGGGGCAGGGATGAGGGCCAGGCGCTTCCCCCCGTCCCTGTGATGCTGGGGGTTAACTCGCACGAGGGGCTCATGTTCGTACACGGAGCGTTTCCGGTGACGATGCCCAAGGTGTGTGTGTGTGTGGGTCTGTGGGTGTTTGTTGTTGGCATCGAACCACGCGCACCACCGGCTGACCAATGAGAAGACTTCAGTCTCGGTGCGGGGCGCTGTGTTTGTGTTTGTGTTTGTGTTTGTGTTTGTGTGTGTTCTTTGGTCGACATGGAACCTCGCGAATGTGCTGTGCAATGGAAAGGCGCCAGTCTGTCTCGTTGCGAGGCATGTGAACGCGAGCACTCTTTGCTCATCTGCGGGCTCCCATGACAGGGAGGGGAGGGGGGGGGGGCACAAGGAGTTTGGACGATACGTCCAGTTTTCGGTGTTTGTGTGTATTTGCGTGTGAGTGCGTGTTTCCTTGTTCCTTCAACTTACTGCACTGACCGGCTCATAATGAAATACGTCGGTCTTGTAAACGCCAACATGCTCTCTTGATCCGCGACGTGTGTGTTCGTGTTTGTCTTTGTGTGAAGGCGATGGATTGTCCCTGTTGGGCCTTTCCCAGGAACAACAACCCGCTCTTTTCCGTTTCCGCTACCCCACCCCCCCGTTGGGCCGGCGAAGATCAGGCATATCGCTCCGTCTCGGTATGCGACGTCAATGGTCTACGAACTACGGCATGCGTGTACATGCGCACCGACCCCTGACGCCGACCCCCCTGCCCCCCTTCCCCCCCCCCAATCACCCCCGTCAGCTGGTGTACTACTCGTTCGTGACGGCACTGTTCCGGACGAGCGTGATCGGGGTCCTCCGCGCCTACGGCCACCTGGCCGACCAGTGCGAGGAGTCCGGGGACTACCGCGAAGTCATGTCTCAGATCATGCACGACTACCTCTTCCGCTGCCCAAACCTACGGGCGGCCCAGCTGCTCCAGGTGAGATGCGGGGTGGTGGCGGGAGGATGATGCCATCATGCAGACCCGCACGACTGGTGCGCAAATTTTTTTGGTTTTGATGAATCGCGACGTGAGGAAGGAAGGGGTGGACGGGCGGAAGGGCGACGGGTGGTTGCGATGATGGCAGGGCCGTAGTAGGAGGTGGCCGAATCCCGTCGCAAGACTCGGGGCACTTCGAACACCGCCGCGTTCCTTCCCTTTAGGGTAATTGCTCACTGTCTGTGTCTGCCTCTGTCTCTCCCGCACTGTCTCCGTTTCTGTCTGCCTATCTCTCTCTCTGTATATATTTATACTTGTCTGTTTGTCTGTCTTGTCTGTCTGTCGTTCTATGCATTCCCATCTGTCTGTCTCTCATCCTTCCCGTAACGTGTGTGGTCCAACCCAGGAACAAAACGGACGGGATGCTCCCGTGTTTGTGTACGAGTTCAGCCACCCCACTGAAGTCCCAGGTTTCCCGGAGTGCTCCGGAAGCTCGTGCCACACGGCAGAGCTGCCGTACGTCTTCAACAACGTGAGTTGAACCAGACACTCCCGCACGTTTGTGTTTGCCTTGTTTTCGGGATAGGTGGGATGGGCTGGTGTTGTGCATTCTCTCCGTTGTCCCGAGCCGCGTGGGAACAGTTTTTTGGTGGCGGTGGCCGGCTTTTTGTGGGCTAGCGGAGCTCGAAAACGGGGCCATGGAGGTGAGGCCGTCGAAGATTCTTCAGTGTGTTTGTTTTGCTGGTGTATTGAGAAGTAACATGTCCTTCACACCCGGTCAAAATTGGTGATGATGTTTGGTGCACAAATACCCAACACATTTCCTGCCACTCACTTCGCGCTCACTCTCTCCCTTCGCTTTAGGAACTCACTCCTGCCTACCTCCTCACCCCTCACCTCTTGCTTTTCAATCGTCCTCTTCGATCCCCCCCCCGCCCCCAGGTAGAGGTCATCAAAGAGAGCTACAGCTACCACGAGACAAGCGGACCGGCGATACCTACCGCCGAGGGTCTCGACGCCAACGCTGGCGTCGAGAACAACGAAGGCCACGACGGCGACGGCACCGGCGGCGGCGGCCCCCTCTCCGCGGTCAGCAACGCGCTCGGGGGGGTGGCGGGTAGCGTCGGGGGTGCCGCAGGGGGAGTGGTCGGCACCGTCGGGGGGGTGGCGGGCAGCGTCGGGGGTGCCGTGGGGGGCGCCGCGGGGGGGGGGGTCGGCGNTCCGCGGTCAGCAACGCGCTCGGGGGGGTGGCGGGTAGCGTCGGGGGTGCCGCAGGGGGAGTGGTCGGCACCGTCGGGGGGGTGGCGGGCAGCGTCGGGGGTGCCGTGGGGGGCGCCGCGGGGGGGGTGGTCGGCGTCGTCCGCAGCGGGTTCGGGATCCGGCGGCTGCTCGGCGGCGGCGGCGGCGGCAGGAAGACGTCGTCCTCTCCGGGCGAGGAGGTGGCCGGCGCGATCGGTGGCGGGGGCGCCGGACTGGCGGGGAGGGTGGCGGCCGACCTGACGGAGATGGCAGCGGACTCTCTCGCCGTTTCGGTGTCGGAAGGGGATGAAGAAGAAGAAGGAGAAGGAGGAGGTGATGATCATCACGAAGGAACCAGAGGGGAACAGGAGCCGGCGGCGGCGGCGGCGGTAGTTGTTGAGCCGCATTTTTCGTCGGGAAGGGGATCAAGAGCGACGGCGGCTGCGGAAGCGGAGGATAGCGAAGCACACACGGGGGAGGGATCATCAGGGCGTGCAAATTCCGAGGAAACTCCAGAAGTGGGCAGCAGAAGAGGGGGAGGCGACGACGCTGACGCGGCAGGGCACTCCGAAACGATGGCGGAAGCCGACGACGGACCGGGAGCCGTTAGACGACGAGACGTCGACAGCGACAAGCCTAGCAGTAGCAGCAGCGGCGGCAGAACCAGCAGCGCTAGTGTCCCCGGGGCGGGTGAGCAGGGGCTCGGAGGGAGCAGCTGCGCCGCGATGGCGGGGGGCGGCGGCGCGGACGGCAGCGACAACGGTGAAGAGGCGCGTTCGGGGGAAGGAGAGGGGGGTGATTCGGCGGCGTCCCCGAAGGAACCGAGGCGGCCGAGCGTCCACGAGGCTGCCGAGGCGGACATGCTTGTTGCGGAGGCGATGGTGACCTATTGGGCGAGCTTTGGCAAGGTGACGACGACGTTTTTTTTTTTTTTGCGATCCCCCGAGGCGAAGCAAGGGGTGGTGGGGTGCCCTTGATCTACTATCCCATTGTCACGCATGGAAGGGCTTCGGTTCCATATTTCGTTGTATTGTTTTGTTGTAGCTGCTGGTTATTGTCACCGATGTGTTTGGTTCTGATCCCCACCCGTGGCAACTGTATCTCAAAGCAGTTTTTCACAGAGGTTGTCACACACTCGTGATTTGAGCCTATATCTATCTACGCGAGGAGTATTTTTCTGGAAATCACCCTTACTGGACACTGTTGATGAATGACAGCCGTCGTCATGACTACCCGCTTTGAAAAATTCCGTGAAAACGCACAGCAGTCATGGTAAGTAAACCTATCCAAACAACCATTTGATGCGCTTTTCACCACCAGGGACATTCCGAGGTCAATCCCCCTTCAACAAAAGTCCCTATTCCACCCCATCTCCCCCCCCCAAACCAGGCGGGAGACCCAAACAGCGCGAACGCGCCCGTCGTGTGGCCGGCGTGGGAGGGACGCCGACTGACCGCACAGGGGAACACCGCGGGAGCGGCGGCGATGGCCGCCTTGCTCGCCTCGGGCCACGGGGGCGTGGGGAAGGGCTCCTTCTCCGACGTGTTCGCGGACGCGTGGTCGCAGGCGAGCCCCACGGCTGCATCTGCGGCGGGGGCGGGGGGGTCGTGGCAGGGTGGGTCTTACTTCTTGGAGATTAAGGCTCGCCCGGAGACGCGAGAGGCCCAGAGGGATTGCATGTGCGAGTTCTGGGATCGGCTCAAGTATCGTCATTGATGGTGTCGTGATGGGGGGTTATTGGATGCGTGTTATGTCGTCGAGTGTTGTCACGTTTGTTTCATTTTTTCTGAGTCAGTTTTTTATGTTTTTGTCGTCTTTTTGACGCGCTTTCTCGTGTCAGCTTTTGGAGCGTGCGTGGCTTCAGTCGGATGGGTGGAGACATTCGTTTCGCGACTTGAGTAGCATGAAGATCAATGTTGCGGCGGATTGGTGTGGTTCTGATGTGTGGCGCCCGGGCGTTTTCGGCCGCCGACTCTCATTCTTCGGGTGCATGAGTTTTTGTACATAGCGCTGTCCCCCTTTCCTGTAGAGATTTTATTAGCAATGAAAAACGTTTCTTTTTCTCGTTCGTGTGCGTAGCCGGAGGTACGTTGATGTGTATCAGGGTCACCCCCGTTTGCTGTCACACTCCGTGCTGTGCCCACTCGTGTGTTATCTTATGGTGTCGTGAAACTTTTTTTTTTGCACACGGCGTTGGAAGAATTCGGCGTCGGACGTCCCTCCACCTCTCCCGGTGATGAGCGGTGGATCCAACACTAAGGTCGACGTCGGCGACGACACATGAAACTGCGTCAAACCATGGGGCAAAGCCCGAAATTGATTCCACAATCCTGCAGACCACGACACAGTCGCCAACTTAGAGGTTGATGACGGCGGTAGGTTGGGCAGAGTTTTCGCGTACTCGTCGCAGATGTTCGGAGAGACCGAGGTCTGTTCTCAGTTGAGAGGATGTATGTGCGTTTTCTCCTGCCTATGGGTAGGAGAGGAAGGCAATAGGATGCGAATGAATACCTCTCGACGCCCAGGCCCACGTCGTCTTCTTCCGAAAGTTTAGTTACATTGGAACCCAAGCCAAGCGTCGAGAGTTCGGAGTAAGAGAAAGAATGTAGGTAAATCTCGATTTTAGGGAAGGAAAACGGCAGTAGCAGCAGGGGTGAAATTCGTACTGCTGTTGTGAGATCCTCCAAAGTGCCGGTATGTGCCCGGCAGATTCACCGATGGCACGATACCGGGAACCCGGCACTATTAATATCTACTAACTCTCCCTTCTTCCCCTCGCTCCTCGACAAGCTTTTGCTTAGACATGGGTTGTAGTGAAGGGGGGGGTCTTTCTGGCGAGCAGGGCTAGACTCACCCTCAAGGGATGACCGAAACCTTCTTGCTGCTGCGCATATCCGCCGCGAGGCATGCGCGTGGTGGTGTAGTTGGGTCGGCACTGATGGGGTCAGGCGAAAAAATGTAGATGCGCGGGCCTCTGGCCGTCGGCGTAGGCAGCGATGCCCATCTCATTTTTTGTGCGCGGAGGCAGACACCGTCAGAAG